CGAAGGGGGGAGATGAAGGGGGACGAGGTGGTGACGTTCACGGCCGGGGGGTGGAGCCTGGAGCCGCTGTCACGCCGCATGTCACCACCTTGCCCCCTTCCCCTCCCGCCATGGCGCTCTGCTGACTTCTGCGCTGCTCAGCCAGGCTGCCACGTGGGAGCAAGTGGTGCAAGCTGCCATTTGGGCCCTGCACTCCCCATGCAGCACAGGCTGCCCAGAGGGAACAGCCAGCATTTCAGTGCTACAGACTCTCAGACACTTGGCTACTATACATATGATTAGTAAGACATGATTTGCCTTTACAGAAACCATGTAGACTTCCCCCCAAAATTGTTTCATCTATGACTAGCAATCCTGTTCTTTACGTAGTTTCAACCAATCTGTCTGATATTGAAGTTAGACTTATCGGTCTGTCAAGGCTTTTTCCCCACTCTGGCACGATAAATGCAGAAGTGGAGGCATGCAAAAGTACCCCAAACCTTATGTTTCCAGGCTTTGGTATAAACCCCCCTCCCCCAAATCTTATAAACCTAGATTTTGGGGATAAAAATCCACTGCCACCACCCAAGTTATAAGGAAACTAGGAAAGAAATCACTTGGGGAAATCTCTGTCCTAATGTAAAACCAAGGCGCGCACACAAATTAACCAATACTAGGTTAATAAAAAGAGAGAGAACTTTTATCATCACCACAATACTCCTGTTACAAGCATAATAACTAGATGGAAAAGTCACCAATTAATAAAGTCATAGGGAATTCCACCATCGGCCAAAGCTTAGTTAAAAGGAGAGAGAACCCCATTTTTAAATGCACAGACATCAGATTACTATTTCCAAACCATAAAACAATAAAACCTAATAGATTTATCTAAACTTTGCCCTATGTACAGATAGTGAAGAGTCTTTTCTTGGAGAAAGAGACATGTCTGTCTCCCTCAGTATCTGGAGAGAAACTGCTCTAGGGTCAAAGGAGGGAAAAACCAAAAATTCCTTTGTCCCGATTTGAAAATCCTATTTGCATTTCTATTGGCTGCTGGCTACCTGGTTTAGGTACAGTTAACCCCTTAGTCCCCAGGCTGGTGGCCATCTCATGATCATGACAGTCTTAATTGCCAGGATCCCCTCTAGAGCCTTTTAAAAAATTGGTGTTAATTTTCTTAGGGATGTGTAAGGTTAATCAGTAAGCATCACACTTAATGTGTAATGCTTGCCGGTTCCGGTGCTACCTGCCTGCCACGGGCAGGGGTCTGCTCCTGTCCTGTGGGGTCAGGTGCATACTGTGATGCAGCCTGGTGTGGTGGGGGAGGGGGTAAGGGTGAGCTACCCCCCTTAATTGATTAACCAATTAACTGGGATTTTACATACCTACATTAGCTGTTCTCCAGTCATTTGGTACAGAAAATGATTTAAAGGATACCACAATTAGAAATTCTGCAATTTCACATATGAGTTCTGTTAGAGAAGAAACAGGTGACCCAGGAGTGGATGGGGTAAATGGAACTGCTTCATTGCATTTTAACCTCAGACCCGCAACACATCATTCCAAGTAACAGCAAATTGGCATTGATTACAACCTTTTATCTATTTTAGTATGTTAAATCACACGTCTATCACTATTTTCCCTAAAACAGTATTTAGCAATATTATCTCCTACACAATAAATATTAATAAGCAGGTGATATTATTATGCCCGCCCCTAATTACTGTTTACAGAATTTCTAAACACTGTTCTATGCTACAGACTTTCCAAATCAGCAGGTTACAGAGATTATAAGAAAAGTAATTCAGAAATATTTTATACAGAGCCAGTG